CCGACTGGATTCGTCTGAAAGAAGAAAGTCATATACACCTAGGATGCCTCGGGGGTGAGTTTAACACAGCCTAATTTTCATTTTTGGGTTAACTAACCCTTTAAGCCTTTTGTTTCAGTACCAAGGTAATGCAATGGAACTCATTGACAAACCATGCAGTGCTACAGTAGACTATAGAGACTGTGGTGATCATTCAGAGGCACTGTACATATAAACCAGCAGGGCAAGCATCACAGTGCTGTACTGTAAGGGTCTATAAAGCTTCACGAGCTGTCAGACCTGTTTGGACTCGTTTGTGAATGTATGTGATGACATGAGGTGACACACAGAGAGAGAGAGAGAGAGAGAGACTGTATTATAGGCCTGCGCTCGTAAACTGTCCAGCGTCTGCGCTGCGGGTGTCATTTCATGCCTTCGACTGTTTAACGGGTGTGTGAAGCAGCTTCGCGGATCACTCACCGGGTTCCGGGTGTTTTTCGGGTTTGACAGAAAGTTTGTGATCAGACACTGACGCGATCCGCCTGAACTGCAGCTATCAGCGGCACGAACTTCCGCTATCACACTAGCGCCTGCAGACACTTCAGAATAAGAGTCCCCTTCCACACCCACCGCCTCAGATCTGACACGATAAAACGGTACATGTAAAATAAAATTACAACAATGCAAATTGAATAAGTAAGCAACACAAACATTAAGATAATAATAGTACCGAAATAAAATATCATACTAATAATAATAATACAGGAATAAATCAAATGGCATAAACTTGGGAAGCGTCGTTTCAAAATAAGAGTCGACTTGTCACTCAATACACTTGCTGTGTATAATAAATCATATGTTACGCTAAATAAATATATAAACAAATACAGGACAGAAATATATTCCAACTGTTAATAATAACATATATATTAAGTTGAGAGATGGCACAGATGGGACCTATTAATTTTCAGGAGGTCAGTTTGAAGAGTGTTAATGTGCCGGTGGCGCTCTTCATAAATCAGAGATGAAATGGATCAAACCAGTTAAACTCAGTTTGAGTTCATTATGAGGAGGAGGATTTGCCATTCAGACGAATATAATGACTGGAGGTGCTGCAGGGTTAACATAATCTACTGGTAAATCTATTCAATTACATAAACAATGTCTGTCTAGTGGTATTATTACAGCTTTAGATCTATATTTGCATGTAAATGTTTAAATTAGTTAATGTTAAAATGTTTTTTGTTGTTATCTGGGGTGTTTCATGAATGTATAAATGAATAGAGAAATACATACTTTTAAATGGTTGTTAATATGCATATCCCAGGTAGCGAAAAATGTTCCAAGAACGTTTTGCTAATGTTCCCATTAAAGGGTTAGTTCACCCAAAAATGAAAATTAGCCCACAAATTACTCACCCTCAAGTCATCCTAGGTGTATATGACTTTCTTCTTTCAGATGAATCCAGTCGGAGTTATATTAAAAATAGCTGTTTAATGGCACTCAGCGGGTGTTGCATGCATCAGTCCAAAAGAAGTTAAATAAAAAGCGCCCATCCATAAAAAAAAGTGTCTCACATGGCTCCGGGGGGTGAACAAAGGCCTCCTGTTGCGAATCGATGTGTTTTTGTAAGAAAAATATCCATATTCAAAACGTAATAATCACTTTAATCTAGCTTGCGCCAACAGTTGTAGACAGAAGCAGTTCCGGGGGAATGACGTATGAGGTCAGCGTTGCGCATACTGACAGCCAGAAAAAAAAAAAATGTTTTTAGGAATAAACTGTTCAATAAATAAGTGTGAATGATGTATGAACAAACCCTTCAGTCAGAATATAGATAGGAATAAAGTTTGGTGGATGTAGCTGAAGTAGAGCGAAAAAAATAAAAAAAACCTTTAAAAATGTATTATTACTGAAATCTACAAATGCAAATAGATAAAGAGCAATAAAATATATACTGCATGTGTACTGTGGATGTTTTCTTTCCACTTCTAGGAAACTACACATTATGAAAAGCCAAAATGCCCAAAATCACATTTTTGCATGTAGTGTCTTGCCTTAAAAACAACAAAGGTACCATATAAACTCATGCTGGTGTGAAATCATCAGGTTTCTCTGCTTGAAGATCAACTTCAACACACAGAGCAAATAACGGCTGAATATGAAAATAAGTAACAACAATTGGAAAAGTTTTCTTCCGCTCTTCATCCAGAGGGACGAGCACAGGCAAACTTCAGAGGAAATTCAGGCATGTCTTCCTGTAATTATGTCCAAACAGCAGCAGAACACAGGCATTTTAGACGGGGTTTCTGGGAAAACGAGAAGCAGAAATATTTTGTGTTTGAAACATCAGCAATAAACTCATACTGCAATGCAGAGATTGACAAACTTCTTTTATCAGCCAAACACCGTTGACCTAAGATATTTTCTGTGATTGTAAGTTCATATTTCAATCATTTAACAACACATTTGTAGGTTCACGGTTCTCTGATGTCAGTTAATGGTCACATGACATGCAGATAAATAAAATTTTAGAATAAATAGCTTCTCATCACCCTGGGAAACCCTGCTATGATGAATTTAAATTGTGGGTTCAGGTACAAAGTGACAGTAAAAACTCAACAGAATAACATGTAATGAAATAATCACTGTATGCTGTTTAGCTAGTTTTCACAATTTCTCTAATGTTTTTGAAAAGTTATATATATGTTAGGACAAAATGTTTTTCAAGTAATGTTTATGGAACATTCTTTTAACTTAATATTTGATTTTACGTTCTCATAATGCTGAGAAAAAAAATTGTATTCTTAGAATATCAATTAATTCTTAGAATAACATTCTCAGAATATCTTTATGATGTTATTTGTACTTGAACATTCTAAGAAACGTTTTTGCAACCTTTAAATAATGTTATAATCACGAAAACTGGACATTATAACATTCTTAAAATATTAAAAATAAACATTCAAATAATATTATACCTTAAGTGAAAATAAAGTTAGTAGAATGTTGTCTTCAAGAAAACTGGACATTTCAACATTTTAGAAACTACAATGTTCCCACAATGTTTTTATAACCTAAATTTGTTACTTGGGCAACTTAAAAAAAAAAAAACTGTTGCAAGAACGTTTTTCTAACATTCCCATTAGGTTATGAAAACATTATTTCTGAATGTTCTCTGAACATTCAAAACGTCTGGCTTTTTAAATATTTAAGAAACGCTCTTTCTTGGTTATGCAAATGTTAAGGGAACATTCCATTTCATAATTTTGAGAACACTGTAAGAATGTTACTTTTGAATGTTCTAAAACAAGTGGTAACATTTAAAAAAACATTGGACGAATATCTAAAATGTAAAAAAACATTGAACAATATATGAATGAAGTTTCTGTACTGCAGCCCTGAATGTCAGCGGAGATCAGGACAATTAGATGAGCCCCAGAGACAGATCCCCAGTTAAGACCGAATGAAGTTTCTGTACTGCAGCCCTGAATGTCAGCGGAGATCAGGACAATTAGATGAGCCCCAGAGACAGATCCCCAGTGAAGACCTTGTCTCCTAGACGGCCACAAGAACCAGATGAGTCCTCTGCACAATCTGACTTTGCTGCAGCCTGGAGCTGAACTGCTGGTTTTGTCTGGTCAGAGGAGAACCGGCCCCCTGACTGAGCCTGGTTTCTCCCAAGGTTTTTTCTCCATTCTGTCACCGATGGAGTTTTGGTTCCTCTGGCTTGCTTAGTTGGGGACACTTCATTTCCAGCGATATCGTTGACTTGATTGCACAGATACTATTTAAACTGAACTGAGCTGGATGATCACATCCCTGAATTCAATGATGAACTGCCTTTAACTGAAAATTGAGTGTTTACTATTGTCACTTTGCATTATTGACACTATTTTGCTATTTAATGCTGTAAAGCTGCTTTGACACAATCTGTATTGTAAAAAGCGCTATATAAATAAAGGTGACTTGACTGTACTAAGCTTTTGAGAACATTATTAATGACCAGATAACTCTGAAAGACTGTTCTATTGGAGTTTCTGGAAGAACGTTCATAATATTACCTGTTAGCCAGGCTCTCAGTCTCAGTGTGGTTGTAATGTGATTCAGTCTACTGTAGTTTAGTTCATGTGTGTCCGATTCTAATCAATCCGCTCACCAAACCTGATCAGATGGAGCTGCTGCTGACCTCCTGTTGTCACGCTCCTCCTGGGCTCCCATAATGCCATGTTTTCTCCCATCATCCATCACTGCTGTCATGTCCAGCGCAGCAGCCGCAGGGGATTTGTAGATGTGAGGTCTGATTGTGCGTGACAACTTACGAGCCAATCAAACCCCCCGCTTTCATCATGAGCGATGCATGTCAGTCCTCTCCAGCATCTGATCTCAGCTTAAACTGTCATATGAAGGCTCGAGTTCACACAAATGGCACAAATCTACACTAAATGTAACTTTTAATCGAAATTGACATGACATGCTAATTAAAGGCGTCATGTGCAGCTGAACACACGAGGGGAGTGTTCGCTAAACTGCAGCCGCTGATTTGTTTGCACACTTCTAGCACTTGATTCACTAAATGAATTATGCAAATTAGGCAATGGTCTGTGCAATAACTTAACGACTTAAATGAAATACTTTCAATAATTGAAATCACACCACAACCCTACTTCAGCACATTTGTCACTTGGTTAAACTGGATTGTTGGTTGTTAGAAACTAAAGACAACCGACTTCCCCACGGGGCCTAATGGTTAGAGAGTCGGACTCGTAACCCAAAGCAAGGCACCGAACCCCCAACTGCTCCCCGGGCGCCGCAGCAAAAAAAATGGCTGCCCACTGCTCCGGGTGTGTGTTCACGGTGTGTGTTCACTGCTGTGTGTGTGCACTTTGGATGGGATAAATCAAGAGCACTAATTCCTAGTATGGGTCACCATACTTGGCCACATGTCATGTCACTTCACTTCACTTGTCACTTAAGTAAAAAATAACACAATAAATCGCTTAAGTTAGAAGCTTTTAATGATGATTTGTTTCAGCTTTTGTCTTCTCAAGATAATTAAGTTAACTGCTGGAGTGGAGTGGTGTGGATTATTGTGATGTTTTTATCAGCTCTCATTCTGACGGCACGCATTCACTGCAGAGCATCCACTGCTGAGACACTGATGCAATGCTACATTTCTCCAAATCTGATGAAGAAACAAACTCATCCTAATCTTGGATGGCCTGAGGAGGAGGAGTACATTTTCAGCAAATGTTCATTTTTGGCCGAACTATTCTTTTAAAAACTTAAATATAAGTTGCATTAACTTTAAACAAAATTAAACTTTTACATTTATTGGCCGAAAAGTTTCCGCATTATTTGTTAAGTCCAATTTCGTGATCTGCTTAAAAGATCGATTCATTCACAAATTGCTACATTTATGCTCATTATATGAACCTGGTACCTTGCAAACACATTTTCATTGATTTAACCCCGATTACTCGAACGACTAGAAATGGTTTAAAATGAGAAAGGCGATTTACATTTTTGTGCACAATGTGCATCAGACAGGCAGTGAACACACTGTGGACCTACCATCTAAATGTGCATTTGTGTGGAGGATTCGTAGGATCAGTAGACAAAACACTGATGCTCATGGTGTTTCTCTCTCGGGGTTAATGAGACGCACACATGAGCCTCCTACAGACGGTCTGTGTGTGTCTTGTGTCCAGCAGGAGGCAGCGCTCTGGAACACATGCAGCCATTCAGCTCTCCTGCTGCTTTCTCATCATCCCTGTTCTGACAGAAACAGAAACAGCCGGGTACCTCTCGCTGACCTCTGCCTGCCCAAAGGACTAGCAGGATGAATTCAGAATACTATCACATACTATATGGCAGAAAGAGTAAGAGTTGAATGCTAGTATGCTATTCTAAATTCAGTGCTAGTGTACTGGTCACGACAGAGCACAGTATACACTGAATGCTCTGTGAAGCTGCTTTGCAACAATCTGTATTGTATAAAGCGCTATAGAAATAAAGGTGGCTTGACTACTAGTTTCAGTAGCAGTATGCAGCAATACATTCAGACTGACCTCATCACACTCATGTTTAATGCATCCAATGTCACTGTGGGAATAATAACAGTAGTTTTGATTTTTAAACCTAAGTTTTCACAACTTTTAGGATTGATTAAGCATTACAGTTGAAAAGAGGATGGATGGATGGATGGATGTTTTGCTCAATAGATCATACTGAGAGGAGGGACGTGAAGTGTGTTTTTGCAGAAGGGAGGGGCTTCGTTCTGTTCCGACTGACCAATAGAAATGCAGCTGATATACAGACGTCTTGTTTACATCCTTTATCATCATCATCATCATCATCATCATGACCACATAAAGGACATTGTCATTATATACATTATATCAATTACATGTAATGATCTCAGAAGCGTCCTATATGAGACTTTTGAATTGCTGCTGATTATATAATTTGTTATGCTGAATAATGGATTAATTGCAGTCATTGTTCTCAGCCGAGTTCAGTGAACTCGAGCAAACCTAGTGTGTTAATGCAGTTATTCAGAGAGTGACAGAAACATTTGAAGAGCTTGAAACAGAGGAAAACGTGGATTGAAAATGATGTGAAATCCATAGACAGTGGACACACACACACACACACTTGCCTTGGGTATGTTCTTCATCAGGTTTTATGTCGGGAACAAGCTTCTAGGCTGCAGTAAAGGAGAACGTCTGCCTGTGGGACACAAACACAAACCGCTCGACCTCAGACGACCCTCATCTCACTCGCTCACTAGACGTGGTGTGTGTATATTCTAGTGTGCTTAATAGACAGCAGGGTCCCTCACTGACTCTGATAAAAACATTCCGATAAATAAAGCATTTCTTCCTGGAGCCACTGAGATTACAGTGGGAGCCGCTTGCGACACAATAACACGTTCAGGCAGATGTCTAGAGGTCTAATGGCTGTTATCACGCGGCTCCTCTGGGCTCCGAGGTTCATACAGATGATATATAGTGTTCAGCAGACAAACAATCAGACGAGTCCTGGTTTAGCTTTAGCTGTAAACATTCACACACAACCTTTGGTCTCATCTCATGAACCATTTCACATTTTCACATCACCATTAAGGCATTTCTTAGTTGTTTATCAAGTTGTTTTCCTCACGGAGAGCGTTAGCTGTTGGTAGTTTCAGATTTTACTGCCTTTGTGGGAGTTTCTTGAATTTTTAAAATGTTCATTTTAGATATTTTTGGGAAGCAAAAAAGCAGGTGTTTTGTGGAGAGGGTAATTAAGCTTAATAACCAAAGCATCATTTACTCACCCCAATGTTGATCCAAACCTGTGTAGCGAATCAGCTCATGGGGAAATATGAATAATTATCTACTGTGCCTTGTGCCTCTTGCGATGGAACATGCAGTGATTTTCCCTGCTTCGCATTCCATTAGGTCGTAAATGTATCTGGTGTCAGGGTTGCCATGGTAACCAGGGCCCTGGGCCCTGTTCACAGACAACTTGGCACCCAGTATGTTTATTGGGTGAGGGGTCTGTGAACGTTTGTTAATCTAATGAATAACTGATTTGTTAAATCAAATGAAAAATGGTGTGTCTGATTGGTCCAGACGCTACACCTGTATTTTCTTCTCTGAAACAAAAAAGACGAACATTTATGCACCTCTTTTCAACAGATCCAATAGATCTATGATTGTCAGAACAATAGATAAGATAGATGTGTAAAGGCTGTGCAAACACACACACACACACACACACACACACACACACGCTCGTCTTCTAATTAAAACATGAATATTACTGCATGAGTTGATTCTTATTAAGCTAAAGCAGCAGCCTCAGTATAATGAGTGTTCAAACTCTCAAATTAACTAAACTGCACAGCAATTACACAGACACAAACAGAACAAGCCATTTACACACATTCAGCTGCTCTCTCTCTATTGTTCTCAGTGTTCTTCTCCCTCATGTGGAATTAATTAATGCAGACAGACACTCGCTCTGTAGGAAACTCCAGTGAGTGTGTAAATATAACCTATATATGGAGACTATATTTTTTCAATTGGGTTTAATCAGGTTAAATAAGAAATGCATATTCACCCAAATAACCAGAGAATATGGCATTGTTAGTTGATTTTATTGATGAACTAGTTAATCAGCTTGTACTGATATGAAGTAGAAGCAGCAACATAACCAAGCGAGCAGCTCATATAGTGCTGATTCTACAGACACATGCGCCTCACGCAGGATAGACACTCTGCGGTATTTTGCTGAACTCTGTTCTGCTTTGGTCAGTGTGTAAATGTTCCTTTTTTCCTGTCTTAGGATTGTGTTTCAAATGTGATGTTTCTGACTATCTAAAGTTTACTAAAAGGAATTGTTTCTATGTTGAAATTGAACACAGAATCTCACAACGGTAAATGATCTGTGTGCTGAAAAGTGCTGAATGTTCAATAAGGGTCATACTTATGTATTTCTTGGTCAGACTATAGTTACTGAGTTCTGACTAAAGGGGAAGTGGGAAAAAAGCAGCAGTTGTTATTTTCACACACATCTCTCCCTCCGTCCAGTGTAAAAGCATTTAGAGCTTAAGATCCGAGAGGATTTCTGTCGTCTTCAACTCTTTTCTCTGGTAATTCATTTACACACAACACAGTAAACCTTCTGTAGTTTTCAATTTTGCTTTATTGTCAATTCTGTATTATAATATAGGCCTAATTGTGTGTTTTCATTTGTTTGTTTATTCTGCTGTAAGTTGAACGTAAATGATGGAAACATTGGTGATGTTCCTCCTCACTGGATCTCTGATACAAGGTCTCATTCCTAGATTATTCCTCTATTCTATTTAACAAGATGAATTATTATTATTTTATTTATTTATTTATTTATTCATTTATCAGATGCTTTTATCCAAAGCGAGTTTGTTGAAGTAGTAAAATAACTCAAATTAAATAAAACTAAAACTCCCGTATACTACGCGTTCAGTGTAAGACAGGAATTATATCAATCTGTGCTGAATGATCATCTATAGTTAGTGCTGTAAATCATAAAGTAATCGCCTGAATGATTTTCTCCTCCACTAGATGCTCCTAAAAACACATCAGTGAGGATAAATCCAGCTGGTTTAGTTCTGGAGGGCCGTTCAGTGACTCTGATCTGCAGCAGTGATGCAAACCCAGCGGTGAACTACACCTGGTACAGAGACACTGAAAGACCTCTGAATCCAGTTCAGACTGGATCAAACCTGACCA